AGAAGAAGAGAGAGAGAGAGAGAAGAAAGAGAAGAGAAGAGAAGAGAAGAGAAGAGAAGAGTAGAGAAGAAACCATTGTGACTATATTGGGGCACTTCCATTTTTAAAATATTGTGGGAAACCAAAATATTAATGATACATCTTCACATATACAAGCATGCAAATTGAATTGGTCTAAATGTTAGTAAGAAATATTACCAGTTCTTGGAGAAGGGGCCCTTGCAATTTCTAAGGAGCAAGGTTTCTTTGTAACTGCTGTGTCCATGAGATCACATAGAAAGTTCTCATTTTCTGAAGGAAATGTATCCAGTGAAGCAGATGGTACAATTTCCATAGTGTAATTCCTTTTCTTTGGATAGGACTCCTGAAAGGAAGGAGAAAAATAAAAATAGCTTTGTGATAAAGATACAGCCTATTTAAAAGGTAATAAGGTTCATCAGTTCTTTAAAAGTGATCAAGAGGTGGTGATTTATCTGTTTGAATAAGTTACACAATCATGTAACCCCAATAATATCAGTGATCTTTTTAGAAGGGTACTTATAATTTGGTTCTCTTGAATTTATCACTGAACTAGTAACATTCTTGATCTCTTTATGTAATATATGTGTACTTTCTACTATATGTGGCATAGGCTGTTGTTTAACTAATCAACTACTATTTCTAAGACTCTACTCCTTTGCCTGCTTCCTAGAGATAGCCATATAACTCAGTATTTGGCCAGTTAGATATAAGAGGAAGTTTGCTGGAAGCCTTCAGGAAAATTTTTTCTCCTCAGAGAAAACACATGCAAAGAGGCTTTTTCAGAGCCTTGGCCATCCTCAGTTTTCTCTCTCTGGATGCAGTTTTGATGTCTGTGGCTAGGCAGTAAGCCTAGAATCAAAAAGGTAACAGGCCAAGAATGGCAACAGAAGGATAAAGAACCTAGGGCCTTTATGTTATTGAGCTGCTCAAATAGCCCCAGGACCAGTTTTTGCAGGCTTCATAAGCAAATATTAAAGTACTTATTGTTTGAGTAATTGCTAATTGGGTTTTCAGTCATTTAGAGGTAAATATGTTCCCACCCAACACTGTATTTGTGAATACTGTTAACCAATATACTAAGGTTACTCTTTTCAGGTTAGGATAAAATTAAAGTCTAATTCTACATTATAGATTCTTCAATATATTCTAAAAATTGGAATTTACTTCATTTTATAAGATCTTAATTTCTTGTACAAGGTGTAATAGTCAACAAATATTTGTTAGGTTTCTATCATAGATATTTAGGACTGTGCTAACTGCTAGAGATTTGAAAAAAAAAACTAATATGATATAAGCCTTGCCCTTAGAGAGTTCACAGTATACTCAAAAAGAAAAACAGATTATCTGCATGATGAATTTCACAATGAATCATGTTTGGCTTTTGATATTTTTTACCTTTATGAAGTATACTTCACTATCAAAAGAAAAAGAAATCACTTCCAAAAAATTTTCCAAGATATATCCAAGGGTTGGTAAAGATTTAGTAAAGCTAAATTGGTAAAGCTCCTATTTTTCTCTACAATGATATTTACAGTACAGTAGAATAAGTATTCAAGGTCAGTGTAATTGCTTTCAGACCACACCAGACCCTCACACATCAAAGAGTCAATTATATTCACTCTACTCTATTGAAAGCAGGAAATTGGGAGTAATTTATTTTCAACAACAAACGGTGAGAAAGTTGAAAGCATCCAGAGGAAAGCAATCAGGATGGTATATGATTTAAAAACCATGTCACAGAAGAAATCATGAAAGGAACTGCAGTGTTCTAACCCGGAGAATTCTAACAGCAGCATAGTAGTTTTCTCGACATATTTGAAAGGCTATCCCTCAAGAGCTATCCCACAAAGCAGGGAGGGGAGAGGTTGCTGTGGTAGATTTATTCTAAAGTTCATAAAGGCAGAACAAAGACCAATGTTTATAAGTCAAGGAGGGTAAATTTGGGTCAACACAAAAAATAATTTTCTGTGAATTAACAATATTGCTTATCTTCTAAAATAAAAATGCTCTACTGTAACAATTAGCTAAAAAAGATAGCACTAGAAAGCAACAGAAGGAATTTCTCATAACTGGAAATGTTTACACAGAATGATCTATTAATAAAATTATGTATAAAACACACTGTTCAATGAATACACTAGATGACTGTAAACTCCATGAAGGCTGGAATTTGTCTTGTTCACCCCTCCATCCTCAGAATCTAATACAACTCCTGCCAATAAATATTTACTGATCAACTAAATAGTCAGTTTCTAATATCCTTTCAAACAAATCTAAACACCAGTTAGGAAAAGGATAATGCCTTTTTAATATGTAAAGTACTCTATTTTTCTGTTTTTCATTATCGTTTACTGTCTTGCATATCAAAAATGCAAAAATGAGATTACAGTAAGATTGTAATGAGTCTATGAAAAAAGAGTCTCCAGCTTAAACCCTGGTTCATCCTAAAATTAAATTAATCAGAACCACCTATTCTTCATGGATTTCGTTAAGTTGGACTTTTACTGTGTTTATAAAGAATTATGAGGATTTTAAAGGCTTTGAAATTTAACCACACAGGATGAATTAGTAGATTAAGTGTACACATTTATTAGAGAAATATTAGAAAATATACAGAGAAAACGTCACATGAAAACCCAGCATGTTCAGATAACTAACAGTAACATTTTGGTGTATATTCTCCCAGATGGCTTCCCTCTGTAAACGTGTGTGTGGACATGTGGGTGTGTGCAAAGGAAAGACAAACTATTTTAAACGATAATGAAGTATACCCTCTTCTGCTTCCTAAGGGAGTGCCATCATTTCTCACTGGTGCAGAAGTTGGTAGTCTACACATGGCTTCCTATGGAAAGTGAAAGGCCCAAGAGAAGGGGATAGTACAACAAAGATTGTAAAACTATACTCTTGTACCCAAATATTTCATATTGCCAAAAAAAGTGGGACATTCAATAAAGTACCTGACAAGTATCCCTCAAAAGAGTACATATGAAATTACAAAATAACAAAATAAATACATGAATGTTCATGTTTAAGAGATAAAACATTACCACTGAAATTCACCCCTCCCATCCCACGTTCCCCTTTGCATTCCCAGCCCCTCCCTCCCCAGCCACGGCTAAATCTTCTTCTGAACTTTGTGTTTATAATCCCCTGGATTGTTGTTAAAATTTAACTACATATGTAAGTATCAATAAAAAAATAAACTGTCTCATACTGTATGCTTTTGAACTTCATGTATATAATATAAAATGCTCTTGTCCTTGTGTGACTTTATTCAATCAATATTGTATTTCTGAGTTCCATTTATCTTCAGTGTGACACAGGAGTCCACCATACAGATATACAAATTCATTTACACATTCTCCTGACAATGGACTTTAAGACATTTCCCAGATTTTTTCTATTAAGAACGATGTTGCTATGAATATTCCTGTACAACGTACCTTGGTACATGTAATCAGGGTACATTACCTATTCCAGTAATCATGGAGCAGAGAATCAAGAATAGACATAAGACGGGAAAAATGAATGAAAGCAAGAGTTCTACATAAACAGGAATTTGCAACAAAAGGTAATCATGAGAACTGAGAGTGGATGCCTTGTAGATTCTATAGAGGTCTTGAGGAGGGCATTGTGTTTTCCCACCCAAAGTAGGGTAAAGGTTCAAGGGATTTTCTGTAAATCTTATGTGAAGATATTATATATAAATATACAAAGGTATTATATATAATGTTTCCTGATTTGATATTTACCTTTAATAATGTATTCTGAACAAATTTGAAGGACAGATATATGTCTATATGATAAATTTAAGTTCTGATACACACTTGGTCATAATTTATTTAGCCGATCTTATCGTATTGAAATATTAATGTTTTTCTTCTAAGGGAACACTCTTGTGCATATATCTTTGCTTACACATTCAACCAGTTCTTTTGAAATAGAATTCCTGTGACAATAGGTATATGCCATATGCTTACATATAACTGAATTTGTTTCTAGACTTTCTAATTGGTTCCATATGTCAGTCTATTCTAGTACCAGAATCGTTCTGTTTTGATTATCGAAGCCTTAAAATTAATTTTTCTATCGGTAGCATATGTCTCTCCTCATATTCATCCTTATCAAAGCATTCATGATTATCCTCATGTTTATTTTTCAAAAAAAAATCTTTAAACATTTTGTTAATTTCCCCTTTTCTTTGTTTCCTGACCGTGAACAAACTTCCATACACCAGCCACTCAAACAGCCTGGGGACTATTTTCATTCCCACTCTTCCTCAACATCATGCTCAGTCATTCCCCAAGTCTCATGTTTGACACTGAGTTATCTATCTCAAACACACTCATTTCTCTCCATCCCTGCTACTGCCCTGGTCCAGGTCACCAACACCTGTCATCTGAACTGCTAGAACAACTTGCAAACCAGCCTTCTTGCCTCTAGCCCTGCTTCTCTCCCAATTAACTCACTTTCAAACACTAACATAAAGTTACTAAGTCAGTTGAAATAAATTCATTTTCTTTCATCATAACTTTATTTGATAAGAGAATCAGAAAATGTTCTAGTCATAGTACATGTTGATTCTTTTT